GAGTTGGACCCTGACGCTCCGGACTCGGCCCAACGCCGTAAATGGAGTGTGTTTCTAAAGGCTGTGCGCAAGAAGGCGCCCCTGTATTCTGTCATTTGAGCCAGGGACGCTTGAGCCATCGATTACGCAGGATGTGGGGAGCTAGCCTGGTGCGACAAGGGACCTTCCAGCAGCGCCATCACTGACGCAGCCACTACCCCTCCTCACCCTCATCCCGTTGTTCTCCTCCATTTCCTCGTTGTGCTCCAACCTGTTTCCCTCCTCTTTCCTTTTCTCCTCCTCCTCCTCCTCCACCTACACCTTCTTCTCCTCCTCCTCCTCATCCTCCTCTTCCTCCTCCTCCTCCTCCTTATATCCTCCTCCTCCTCCTCTTCCTCATCCTCCTAAATGGCTTGGCAGCGGGCGGCCGCGCAGCCGTCTTACCCCGCGCGGCCCCGGCCCGCGCCGCCGCGACGGATCGCCGCCAGCGGTCCCCATCGCCGCCTCGGCACCGCCGCCCGAGGAGGAGGCGGGCCGAGGCGAGGGACCGCCTGCGGCTAGCCCGCGAGTTCCTGCTGCGCCACCACGGCAGCCAGACGCCGAGGAAGCTCACGCAAGGCGTGCGAACGGGTGCGGGAGGTGAGGGGCCAGCACCAGGCCCGCTCCCTTGCCCGCACTGTGGCTGCAGGAGGAACGAGGCAGGGTGGAGTTGGCGCAAGCACTGCAGGATGGGGTGTCCCGTCCCAGCCTCCGCCAGACGGGGCTCGTTCTTCTGAGCGGCGTCCTCCTGGCAAGCCTCCTTGGCGCGATCGCCCTCTCCGCTCAGGGTCCAGGATGCGGTTTGACATTCGTGACTGGGGAGATGAACACCAGGGTCCAGACGAAGCAGAAGAGTAAGACATTGCCGACCCATAATTCAGAGTACGAGCCCGTTCAGCTCCTCAGCCGATTGCGTCTCTCAAAGGATGACGGCGGAGTCCAGAAGTACGAACAGCAATTGGATGCACTGCGAGCTCAGCGGAAATCAACTCCTCTCTCAGTGGATGCAGCCGGCCAGGCCCGAGAAGCCTCAGCAGCAGCCCTAGACCGAGCTGTCGGCGAAGCAGAAGACCTTACGGGGCGGCTGGCACAGGCCAAAAAGAGAGTGGCGGAGTGTAGCGTTCGGCACGACGAGGCGACGGCGGTGCACACGTAAGCCATCCCAAATATGGCCAACCAAGTGGCAGCTCCACAGCAGCAGCAGCAGCATAGTCAGGCAGAGCACCCTCAGCCTGCATCTCCATCGCTTTCTCCTCGAGGGCAAGGATGTCGAGCTCGATCATGGAGGACTGTTGGGCGTGGAGGCCCTGGAGGCCCACCCCGACCACGAAATACAGGAGTCGGACCGAGAGGAAGCGACGAAGCGAAAGCAGCTACTGCAACAGAAGTTCAAGGAGCTGGTTCAGCAGGCGTTCGGACAGCTTGCTAATGAGACGAATGAGCTCGGGAAAAGCACGGGGCGCTCAAGAACCGCCTCGTTAAAAAGCGGAAGACTGCTACCGAGGCAGCTGAAGGAGGAGATGGGAAGACCCAGACGAAGGTCCAGGCGGCTGCGCCAGTCCCAATGGGGCAAAGGAGCACGAGTTGAGGACATCACTGAGGACGAGGATGAGGTCGTGGCACGTGCCAGGGCTCGCTTAAGGGAAGCACCCGAGGAGCTCCGGAAAGTACGCCGCGGCTTTGACGGACCAGCAGATGCGCTGGGTGATCGTCAGGTTTTGCGGGCTACTCCGTCAGTAGCTGGTAGCTGGTCAATGCAGGCTGGCAATCTACGGTTTGGCTGCTTCTCGGCAGTCCACAGTGGAACATCTCACAGTGGATTTGCCCCCATGCCGAAAAGCCAAAATGACCGCAAGAAGGCCGACAGCGCAGATAGCACCACGCAAAACCTACGAGAAACACGTCCCCACATTTCTCCAAACGTCAAGCATAAGTAACCTACAAACACGTGTTCATGTGATGTGGGTGCTACTGCTGCTGGGCTGGACGGTATGTACACGTCCTGAAAAAATGCGCGCGCTGTCTTGGCAACGGTGTGCGATGCTAGTTTGAAAGTGCGCTGGTACTGCCGACTGTTCCCCAAACAGTGCTTGCACTTAGGGGTTCTTACTTCTGTTCTAAGGAACTGGCCCTGACGGTCGGTCTGGCGGCTATGTTGCCGCCGTCGCCGCCCCATCGCCGCCTCGTCGCCGCCCGTCGTCTGGGCCTGACGGTCGATTTGGAGGCTATGTTGCTGCCGTCGCCGTCCACTCGCCGCCTCATCGCCGCCCGTCGTCTGGGCCTGACGGACGGTCTGGCGTCTATGTTGCCGCCGTCGCCACCCCGTTGCCTCCTCGTTGCCGCCCGTCGTCTGGCCCTGACGAACTGTCTGGCGGCTGTGTTGCCGACGTCGCCGCCCCGTCGCCGCCTCGTTCCCGCCCGTCGTTTGGCCCTGACGAACGGTTTGGCGGCTGTGTTGCCGACGTCGCCGCCCTTATCGCCGCATCGTCGCCGCCACATACATTCTCTCCAAAAAAAGTGGGATCTACCCTGGGGTTATCCGTTTGCCCTGGGAACGTGCACTTTACATAGGACTCCGCGCCATCGGTCATTACAAACATGCGTTCGTACCATCCCAACCAAGCCCGCCGGGTTCGACCCTAATACAATTCGCGCGCACTCATTTGCCAATCACAAATTTCCATCAAGTCCTTGCCCTAAAAAACACATGACAAAGTCCGCATGCGCGAATCGTCGCGCGTGCATGCTGGAATCCTTCAAAAATCGTTGATTCTTTAAGGGTTCAAAATCGAACGTCCCGAAAACATCGAAAGCAATATTGTAACATGGTGTTTGGTACGGTCGGCGCGTGTGCTTCTGCGGCTTCTGAAAAATATCACTCATCGAATGCGACCAAACAGGCCTCTCGCGCGCGCGTGCTGGAATTATTCGAAAGCCATTGCGCGCGTGCTGGGGGGGGGTACGATCCTTATCAAAGAATACCATGCGGTCCACTCGCGCGCATCGGCCACGCGCGCATGTCGAAATCTTTCAAAACCTTCATCACCGACACGTGGACAACATCATCGTCATCGGCGTGATCAACATCGGCGCCGTAATTGGCCATGCCATCGTCACTGTCATCCTCGTCACAAACATTTCTATGACTATCAGCATCGTCACCATCAACAACAACAATACCAACATCATCAACATCAACGTCATCGCCCAAATCATCATCATAATCATCGTCATCATCATCACCATCGTCATCACCATCATCGAGCCTGCCGTTATCGACGTCATCATGACACCGCGCCCGCCCGAATCACCCACTTGCACTGAAGTGCCCGCGCGTCAGCGCGGCCTGTGAGACGCGCTAGGAGTGCCCAGCGGTCAGCGCCACCGTGATCGCGTCGGTCGCGCCGAACTAGCTGGCCGCTGCACGCGCGAGCAGCGCGGGTTAGCGCGGCCGCAGAGACGCACCAGCCAACACCAAGCACTCATCGCAACCGCCGCCGCGTAGGATTTGCAAACCAAGTTGCGGGTGGGTGGGTGGGATGATTGCGCGAGCAGTGGAACTGACAACTTCAAGTTCGGCAGGGCGAACTGCACTTCATAGATTCCTCTTTGCAAACAGGAACTCGGATCCACCCCCCCGCTACTGGGATTATCCACCCGCCTGTTTCCATTGAAATGTAGACGCGGTTCTGCCCCGTCGCCCGTTCGAAATATGCCAGCAAGGCCAGTATCGACACACACCCTCATCCATGGCAACAGATACTATGCGCACGCACTCGTTCATCAAACATCAACCAATTTCAAGAACCCCTGGTAAGAAAGAGGAAGACGAAGAACACGTGCGTGCGTCGTCGCGCGCATGCCGACGTCCTTCAAAACACCATAAATGTCGCAATGGCTTCTTAGAAGCGAAAGAAAAACAAGCCCCGGAAACATGCAACAACACATGGCTTTGCAACATCGGTGTTAGAAAAAAGGTCTGCGCGCGCTCTTGCGAATCCGTAAGAAACCATAACTTTCCAACATCTTCATCACATGCGACCAAGCGGGCCACTCGCGCGCGCGCATGTCGAAATCGTTCGAACGCCCTTGCCCGCGTGCTGGGGGGGGGGGGGGGGGGCACGACCCCTGTCAAATAATACCTTGCGTGCCACGCGCGCCCGTCGGCCGCGCGAGCATGTCTTCCCCCTTGTTGTCGACGTCGCGATGGCGCCTCGCCCGCCCAAGCCAACGACTCGCACTGAAGTGCCCGCGCTATAGCGCGGATTGCGAGACGCGCTGGGAAGTACCCGGCGGTCAGCGCCACCGTGATCGCGTCGGTCGCGCCGAACTAACTGGCCGCTGCGCGCAGGAGCACGCGGGCTAGCGTGGCCGCAGAAATGCACCAGGCAGCACAGAGCACTCATCGCAATCGCCGCCGCGTAAATTTTGAAAACCAGGTTGCGGGCGGGCGGTTTGGATGATTGCGCGAGGAATAAATCAATTCCACCGGATAGATTGCAGAAGTACAAACCACAACGCGTAGACTGCACAGTTTAAATCGCACAACAGATCTTGAACCACATAGATGTCACCACATGGCGTGCACAGAGTAGACTGCGCAACATAGATAGCATAGAGCGTATTGTTTGCACAACATAAACCGCGCAATCTATACTGCACAACATATGTTGCACAACATAGATCGCACAGCAAATATTTTCCTGTCTCAAGACAGAATAGGATCTACCCCCCCCTGGCGTCATCACTCCCCCTTTCGGGTATGTCAGCCATATATGATTCTGACCACATGTCCATCCTAAATATGAATTTGCACCATCCCAGGGGGGCCGGTATCCACCCCCCTGAGGGTCCCTTGTAAGAAACATTATGCGGTGGCATTTTTTGTTCTAACATAACACTTTGTCACGAATCCCTTGCGAAAAACGGGACGAAGTGCACACGCGCGCGTCGTCGTGCGCGCATGCCGAAATCCTTCAAAA